CTGGATTGTGGCTTTTTTTTTGTGTGTGCAGTAAAATTGAGGACAGTTAATTGCAGAGGAAATGAATAGTTTCCTTTTCTCCTGCTTTTTAAACTGTTGAGTGAAGGGGAAAAAAAACAAAACAAAAAAACCCATTTTTTCCTACTCGAGGAGGAAAACAATCGGAAATGCTGAACAGACTCTAAAAGCTGAACTGCCAATAACCACCAGCCGTGGGCCTTGGGCTGCTTGGGGTTGTGGAACAGCACACAGAATCACAGAATGGCCCAGGTTGGAAGGATCACAAATCTCCAACCCCCTGCTACATGCAGGGCCACCAATCTCCCCATTTAATAGCAGACCAGGCTGCCCAGGGCCCCATCCAACCTGGCCTTGAACACCTCCAGGGATGGACGGGGCATCCACAGCTCTCTGGGCAGCCGTTCCAGCACCCTGTGCTCCTCCAGGAGTGCACAAACAGCCACGCACCACTGTTGTGTTTTTGGGGCCAGCTCTCCCAGGTCCCTTTCTTCTTGGCAACTGCCTTGAAGGATTTCTCCTGATATGTAGTTTTACATACGTATGCAGTGAGCGTTGTTAATAGGCCTATTCACAAGGCACAAATGAGAGCTCCAGTAAACACCGTTTATGGAATTACACTGTAATGCTGGACTTAGAGGGGTTGATGGGCTGGGTGATTCATCCATCAAATCAATTTCCAGAAAATAGTGCTTCCAGAAGGTTGTGCTTTTTATTGAGGGAAAATATCACTCTTAATGTTCAGTATGCATCGGCTTTGCCACCAAAGTTTAAATAGAGCAGAAATTATATGTTGCTGTTGTTCTTTTTTCTTTTTTTGCTGTGCTTAATTCAAAAGAATGGAACCGTGTGGTGTATGTCTGTAGGTTAAATGTTTATCCCAACGCTAGGCAAGGTCTTTTGTTAATCTTTATTCTAACAGCTTGGTGGAACAGTGTGAGGATCTCCGCTGTGTTTGGGCAGTGAGCTCACACCTCATCAGGAGGTGGAGGAGTTTGGCACAGGGCGGGGGGGGTGGGCTCCCATAGGGCTGGAATTATCCCTCATGGAGCTGCTCTCCAGCCCCAGCTATGCCCTGGGGAAGCCTTCTGCTCCATGACATGAGCTGTCCCTCATGCTCACTTTCCCCAGGTTGTATTGGCACAAGGCATCCCAAATGGCAAAACAGCCTTTGGCAGGGGGAGGTGGAACAGAGCAGTGCCTTCCACTCCCAGTGCTGTGCTGAGTGCTCTCTCTTCTTAAAATTAACAAAGGAAGAAAAGAAATGAAGCAGTAGTTATAACTGAACGTGCCTTGGTTCATTAATGACTTAGTTAATGGAGTGCACATCATATAGTGAGATCCCGACATCTTACAAAATACAAATTTTATCAAGACACTCTCTGGCTTCTCCCATGGGTGTGGGGAGCATCAGTGCTCGGGTTCTGCATCCATGCAGGTCTCCCAGGGGTTCTGGGGGAAGCGGGGCAGCGCGATGAGGAGGAGGACGATTCCGAAGATGAAGAGCAGCACGAAGGCGGAGCAGGCACAGGCGAAGGACCAGGAGTAGCTGTACTCCATCCAGATTGTCTCCTTGCTGTCGATCATCCTTTTCACAGACTGTCTCATGACTTCCACGGAGATGATGATGCAGAGACCTGAAGGAGATGAGAGCAGTGGATAGAATAACCGGCTGCCAGTTTTCCATCCTTAACCACCTTTCAGCAAGCTGTGGGATTCACAGGTGAGACACTGACTTGAATGTTTAAAGGAACCAACGCTAGCAATGCTCAGACCTCTGCTATCACCATGGGCACCAGTGTCTTGTTGAGCATTATATTTTGGGAAGGCTTGGATGGGAAACCTGAAGTGATGGAATAATTGCATGCCTTTTGGCGTTTTTCCAAAGGTAGAATAAGGGCTTTATGGAGGTGATAGTTTGCACCTCTGTCTTTCAGTCATTGTGGTAGGACAAGGTATTAGTAGCTCTGTCCAAATGTGATCTTATTTTGGGGAGACAGTTACATATTTTGGGCCTGGATCAGCTGTTTCTTTAGTTTGAGCTTTCATGTGTTGCTGTGTTTAGAATAAATGAGACAGAACAGCATATAGCTCTGATTTAGACCAGGGCCTGCTCTTAATGTGTCAGAAGTGCCCCTTTTAAAGGAGAAAATTCAGGCTGCTGTGTGATGCTGAGCTGGAGCAGCACACAATGACATATCATCTGGTTGTGAATGGGAAGAAAACGCTGCTCCCCGGGCACTTTGAGCAGTGTTTCCATCCGCCCAGGATTTATCCAAGTTTCACAGTGCTGTGCTATGTGCTGAGGGCAAGCAGCAAGCCTCCTACCTGCAAAAGTGTAGAACATGGATGCTGGCTTCAGCAGGTAGTCCCTCTTCTTCTGGAAGGAGAAGAGGACGCAGATTGTTCCAATGATTGCGAAGCCAACGCTGAAGATGGCAATGGCTGCAGCTGAAATGCTGTATTCTGCCAAAGGAAAGCAAAATCCGACAGAATGTGAACGGCTGCATGTTTTGAGAGTGTTTCCATCAGCTGTTGTGATTTTGTGGTAGGACACTCAGAAAAAAGTGTGTCCTCTCATTGCTGCACAGAAGGGGCTCTGAGAGATGGAGTGTTTCCCTCAGGTAAAAGCGAAGTCGAGTACCAGCTGCAAGACTTTGGAATGCAAAAGCTATAAAAACAGAGAGGGAAACTACTTTAGGAACATCCTCAGGAAGACCAAATGGTAGCTGTGTTGATCTGAGCAAGCTTTGGGGTGGAGCTGCTGCAGCTCTGCTGCAAAGTTGTTACTGCTGCAGGCTTACTGGGCTCCACGATCATTTCTTCCATCCCTCCTTGCTTTGCTCTCACAGCAGACGAGCAGTTCTGTGCTATTTCTGCCCAGGATCTGCAGGGCTGCACCAAGGACCCACACATGGTGCTTCTGTGTCAGTGTGGGATTCATGTGCTCCATAGGGCTCAACATCTGAGCAGGCAAATGAGGCCAGAGGTGATGTGTTGGCATGGGCTTTATTTACTAACTTTTCTGTATGATAACGATTTCCAGCTCTATGAGGACTCAGCTTCTTCAGGGCATAGGATGAACCCTCCATAAGTGCCCTGCTGGATGCTCAGCTCACCAAGGAGTGCTCCATACATTTTGCCCAGCTGCAACTCAATTGCATGGAGGGGGAAAATCTAATTGGGGAATTCAGACCTTCCTTTGGACACTGAGCTTCTTTTCAGATTAGCTTAATATTTAACACATAGCCATGCATGGACACCACAGTGATGATGTTTGCCTTTCAGACCATTTAAAAAACCAAGTCTTCCAGGCAAAACCATGAGGAATCTTTCTGCCTGTTACTAATTAGCTCCCACCAAAATGTGGCTGTTTCTGTGAACGGGAAAACGTATCACTCTTTGTTCTCATTGCCACTATTTCACTGTGATTTCCCTCATGTGACAGCATTCAGCTGTCGTTACCATGTGCTGGAGCTGCCCCACGGTTTCAATGTGAAATCCTTCATTGATGTCTTCCTTCCATGGTGAAGCCTTGGAGTGTGGCAGATAGGAGTGGTGCTGGGATGCTGTTGTGCTGGCAGTGTGGGGTGGGATCTGATAAAAATTCCTCTCCTGCTTTCCATGAAGCCAGAATGGAACCTTCATTTTGGGGACACCTTCACCCCTTCCAGGCTGGATGTGGCTCTGGGCAGCCTGGTCTGGTGGTTGGTGACCCTGCACGTAGCAGGGAGTTGAAACTAGATGGTCATTGTGACCCTTTTAAACCCAGGCCATTCTGTGATTCACCTACATCCCATGCACTCATTGGTTTGTACTGTTTTGGGGAGAAGCTTTTCAGGGCTGTTCTTACCTTTCTGGGTGGTGATTTCAGATATCTCTGAGCTCTGACCGGGAGTGAAGTGCTTGAAGTAGGAGCAGTTGTGAGCTGAAAGGGAAAAGGAAATTTAATTCCGTGCACTTGGAAACCACTGATAAAATGCAGCAAAATGGGATTTACTTTCTACTGATGTAGCAGACCTGCAGTGCTTTTAGCATAGGTACTAATGGGATCTCATTCCTGCTGCAGACATCCAGCCAATGCTGTTATTTTTATTTTTTTTTTAAAGCAGTAACAGCAGCAGGAGGCAGACCTCGAGGATTTGAGCCTTGATCTATCAGAACACTTCAGGAGGTGCTTAAGCAGCCCTGACAGCTGTGCTTCCCCAGGTGCCCTCCTGGGAACGCTTCCTGCAGAAGAGCAGCTTGGAGACAAAGCTGCTGGTTGGACACCTTCCCCTCACACCGCCGCGTCAGTCACACTGCTGGACCCCAACCTGGCAGCAGCACGGCTGGGACGAAGGGTGCCTGCTATTTATAACCCGTTTAATTGGAAGCCTGGAGGGGCGTGGAGATGGGGAGCAGTTGTTTGTAGGGAATTTGGCTGGAAATGTGCAACCACAGCGTTCTGCTGAGCGCTGCCTGCGCTGCGCCGGGCTGGAGGGCCCTCCTGCACCCCGCTTTGTCCCTTTGGGTTCACCAGCTCCTACCACCAACACCTCTGGTCCATTCAGTAATGGAGTTAGCACTGTCTTCCAGGAGCCACCAGCACGAATTGCATTTGTTGTTTATTCACAGCCTTCGTTTCTCGTGGTGAGGAGGTAGCAGAGCACTGTGTTACCTCTTGGGTTCTTTTGTTTTTTTGCTGTCATGTAAATGGCAGGTTGCAGTGTTACTGATTCAAGGAAGGTTTACTTTCCCTCTCCCAGGGGATAAGCAATTCTAAGGCAGCGTTTTTGGGCCCATTAGTGGAAGATTCCTCGGAGATGCTGTTATCTATTTGTTTTAAAAGATGAATTTTATTCCATCTGCAGCTTCTCCTTGCTGAAGACCCGGTTCATGTTCAGCTCTGGCATCTCCTGACCTGTTCTATATTATGCCTGGAGGAAACAGAGCTGAACTCAGACCTCGATGTCTAAAACTGCCTATTTTGAGGCCCAGAGCAGAGGCTGCATGCCAGTGCCTGATGTCAGTGAGGATCTGGTGACATGGGCTGGGGAATTCTTCAGCTCCTGTGCTAAAAGGGAGGGAGATGGGATGCAATTGGCATGCTCCATCTTGGGTTGGTCGGTTGTCCAAATGTGAGGTGAAGCCAGCAGCAGTGCAGTGGCTACACAGGGATCCAGCCCTTCACTCCATGAAGGCTCGGTGAAGGGAAATGCACAAAAACCTCTCAGAGAGAGGGAATTGTCTGCTGTGAATGTGTTGTTTTCAGTCTAAAGACACGTTGGTGCACTGCTGAGCTGGGAATGTCTTTATCAACAAGATTCCCTGTTATTCGAGAGAACTGAGGCACTTCAGTCCCTCTCTGGTGCCATCATGAATTAGAGAAAAGCCCATTTGTGTCACAGCACATTTACATAATGGATAGGATTTAAATTGAGTTTTATAATGGAAGAAAATTTTGTGGTGATCTTTGTTTCTCTTCACCCCTTAATTACATTCTCTCTGCCACAGGTCATATGCTGATGGAACAGCCCATGGGCTCTGCAGTCATTTAGGGCCACTGTGAACTTCGGGGACACATGGTGTTGTTTATCACAAGCTGTCCTCCCTGCTCCAGGGTCACCTGCAACCCTCCTGGCCCCTTCCCTTCAGATCCATCATTGCTGGGGGGATGTGGACCAGTGGGGAAAAACCTGGCTGGCAACCTATGTCCTCTGGTACATTTTCTTTCTATTCCAGATGCTGGCATCCATGTTCCCGCACTTACCAGCTTGTCTTTAGCCTGCTTGCAGTACGTGTGAGCTACAGAGCACCCATCTCTGCTGCTGTCTGAGCTAGGAGCACGCTTTTGGGCTCTCCTGGAGGTGGAGGTGAGCTGTGTTCTCCCAGCAATGCACTGCCCAAGTGTGCTTCTGATCACAGGTGAAAACGTCTCAGTATTCACCTGAATTTTCCCAGCTTTTATGGCCCTTTCCCCGATCTTCATCTTTCTTATAGTAGGACACTGAATCCTTTCCAATTTGTCAGCATCCTCACAACAGCACTGTAAAATTTTAAAGTCCTGCCTAAATCACAGTTCTGCTCTGCGGACTGCAAGCCAACACTTCCTCTACTTTTTGAGATGTGCTGAGCTCAAAACCCAATAAATAGTGCTAATTGTGCCATCCGTTTCTTTCACAGGGAGTGGCTGGTAAATGTTCATTAATGCAGTGATAAATTCTGATGTTTCTTTTCCAGCCCTGGCAGTGATCTCTGACCACGTCTCATGATTTCCAGGAAAACCAACGTCTGCATCTCTACTCCTGTTGCTCCATTTGGGTTTCCCTGATGGCTGCAGGCTGCACAGCTGCTCTGTCCCCACCATGGAATGAGATCAATCCAATGAACACACTGAGCATTGAGCAGCCCCAGTGCTGTGCTCTGCTCACCTCCCCATGCTGAACAAGAAGGGGATTTGGGTGTTGTTTTTATGACAGAGGTGAGAATGCAATGAGCTCTGAGGTCCCCGATGCTGCTTATGGCTCAAGATATCATCCAAAATGCCAAGTATTTTTAAAAATAGTGAAAAAGCTGCAGGCTCTCCAGTGTGAGGCCCAACTCCCTGAGGTTCTTTGCAGAGAAAGGCAGTGCTGGGCTGGGGCTCAGCGCTCTGTGAGCACATGCTGATGTCTGTCAAAAGCAGGAGCTGCTTTCATGCTGCCCTGGCCATGAAGCTGCTGTCTGCAGACAGCTGGATATTTATGGGCTTTATATTTACCCTACATTGTGCCGTTTTGGTGTTTATTGACCAATTTCTATGGTTTTCCTTCTGTGGGTGCTGTGCTCCCCACGTGAGGAAGGGTGAGGAAGGGCAGAGTGTGAGCAGCGTGCTCCTGGGCACACAACCACCTCTGTGAGAGGCAGCAAATGACACACACCCAAATTTGGTTCGAGGCAGATCTGAGCGCTGCGACTGAGCCCCGCTCTTCAGAACACATGATTTGGCCAAATAGGTAAAGAACTGTGGCAATACCAGCAATATACAGCAAACACGGGCGCTAAGATTGTTCACAGGAAGTTTTTGAGTACATGCTAACGTATATATTTCATTTCAAGCAGCGTAGCTGACATAAAGGCAGTTCTGTTTTTTTCAGTTCTGGAAGTTGTCCAGTTCCCTGTGAGCCTCCTGCAGCACAGTCACGGATGGGAGCGTCAGCAAATGTTGCTGACTTGGCACTGCAGATGGAGCTGAGCCCTCTCCCCATTGACTGCACTGGGGAAATATGGGGAAAGAAGAGTGCAGGGTGCAGCAAGTTGGTTTTGAACTCCTTTTTGGAGCTTACAACTTCTTTTTGGAAGCTGGCAATGTAAACGGCAGCTCCCTGCCCTGAGAAATGATTGGTCTTGAAATTGCTTGGGGGTAATCTAACGCTGGCCATGAGCAGGCTCAGGGGATCCAAAAGGTGCATCCATGTAGTTGGACCCAGTCCTATAAACCCTCCTTCTGTCAAAGCTCTGCCCGCTGCTGTCAGTGCACCTGGGTGCTGTGGGACATCAGCAAAGCTCACTCCATCCCAATTCCCACCATGCTCGACCCTCTTCCCCTCCTACCCCGTGCTGCCATTGCACTGGAGCCGATGTCTCAAATACAGCCGCAAACACACAGCACTGTGCAGCCCCATGGGCCACGTTCTGTTCCCACAACATCCTGCAGCCTCCCAACAAAATGCCACGCAAGGGCGGCCGGCCGTACGTACCTCCAGGCAGGCTGGTGGGCCCGCAGCCCGTCTCTTTGGCACCTTGCTCCTGCGCATGAATCCGCTTTGTGCAGAGCCGCCAGAGCCCAAAGTGAGCCGCCTCGCAGGTGGCATTGGAGTCCTTCGCCCTGGTTCTCAGCACGGCCCAGTGGTCCGTCACCACGGCCGCGAAGAGCAGCGAGATGCCCACCAGCAGCACGCAGAAGGTGAGCCGCACCTTCAGGGGTTTGGTCTCGTCCATCCCGCGCTGGGATGTGGCTCCTGGGCCGCCTTCCCCCGGGCCCTGCTCGCCCGCAGCCTCCCCACGCGGCTCCCGTCGTCCTGGCGCGTCTGAGCCTCTGCAAATGTCAGCCCCAGCTGCTGGGCTGTGTCAGGAGGCTATTAATGCACGGAGTGAGGAAAGCTCAGCTTTCCGCCCCGTTCCATCCCGCGTTTGTTTTGGATTCCCACAGCCAAGCGGGTGCTCCTTCAGAGCCGCTACCGCCGCTGAAAGGCTCCGTTCTGCTGACTTGCAGCATGCCCAGAAATAGGCATTAACGGGATGATTAACTTTTCAGCTAGGTTCTAAACCATCTGTGTTTATAATAGCGGCGGAGCTGCGTTCAGTCTGATCCTAAATAGCTTAATAACAGAGCCAGAGCCTGCAAAGTGCCTGCACACGCCGGCAGCTCGTGGCTGTGTCTGCTTTGGAGCCGGGTGCTGGCAGAAGGGCAGACTGTAAAGGATGTGCCAAAGGAGCCAATTTATCTGCTGTATTGCTTGTTGTTACTCATATTGACTTGTGAAGGTATTTTGAGATGTCTGAAGGAAGCTGCTGTGGTTCCCTCCAGAAGGAGAGAGAGAGGTTTATATCCAAAGTTTAATTTCTGAAATATTGTCAAGTTATGATATATTATTATAATGCCACTGGAGAATGGTTGAGACTAAATGGTATCTGAAAGTTCCCCTCCATCCCAAACCATTCTGTGATTCTATGTTGAAAAGATATGCTCCAACTCAGAGGGCAGTGAGGAGCTGGAGGGGCTGCGGATGTTCCATCCCTGGGAGCACCAGGCTGGGCTGGATGGGGCTCTGAGCAGCCTGAGCTGGTGGGGGACCATCATGGCAGGGGGTTGGAACTGGATAATTTGAAAGGTCCCCTCCAACCTAAACCATTCCATCATTCTATGAGTGGTTCTATGAGACATGATGGTTTCGTATTCCTTCAGGGGGTTTTGTTGTTGGGTTTTTTTGTTTGTTCGTTTTTTTTTGGCTGGAAACTTGACTGAAGTTGATTCTATTTCACATTTCTTCTACCTCTCCCTTGCCCTGACCACAGTCCTCAGCTCTGGTTTGAAGACTGGAAAATGCCCCATGCTGCACCCATGCAACAACAGTAAAACGCTGCAATTTTTCACATAGATGCAACTGGCAACTTTTGCCTTTTTTTTTTTTTTTTTTGGTTTATTTTCTTTTCTCCTTCCCTTTGATATTCCAGTTGATTGTAGAACTAATTTGATGATAATGTCACTGCAGAGGCCACTGTGGAGGTGACATTCCAATTGCGATGTCAAACTGATGGGGGTGACAGTACCTGAATGTCAAAAGGGTGGTTAAAAAAATGTCAGTGGAAATCTGCAAATATCGTGTTATCATGTCAAGATAATGTCAACTCTGCTCCACTGCTGTTTTAATGAACACCTCAATTTGGTGTCAAAACAAAGGTGCAGAGGTGCCAGATCAAATTAACGAGGACAATCTGAAGCAGTGAGTTCAGGGTGAAGGGTGAGTGTGGGAAAGGGGAAGAAAATAGAGCTGAAAAATATTCTTTCGAAGTAACTGGAATTGAAATGGGAATTGGATCCTTTGGCAGCAGCTGAAAGTTCTTGCTGCTGAGGCAGCCCAGCACTGTGCAGTGTTGGGTTGGACCAGCTCTGCTCCAAACGTTGGCTTTCCAGGGGTGGCTGCACGAATCTCCCTGGCTGAAAGAATTACGTTTCAAATGGCTGATGGCACTGTGTTTTCTGAGGCATAAAAATGCTATCATGTCACACGGAGGGAAATATTAAAGGCTTACATTTCTATTTCTTAACTGGAGCCAGGAGTTCTCGTGAAACTGGAAAAGCCTAATGGGAGCAGACTTGAAAGTGGAAAAGGAGTGCATTAACGATGTAATGCCTTTTTCTTTTGAAGCAGTCTCTTGTTAGATTTCACTGGGCATCAGTCAATCTTCAGAGCTGCATCCTGGCTGCAGACTGAGCGCATGTTTGCAAATGTGGGCATAAAGCAGCGCTTTGGTTGCTGAGGAAGGAAGTGCTAATGATCATGCTTTAGACTAATTACAACCTACAAAGGCTGCAGGAGAGGGAACTCATTGCTTCTTTTGTTGCTGTAGGTTTTTATGTCTCTTCCAGTGCTGGCAAGGATCGTGCTTGCTGCTCTCATTCAGGTACCCTGATCTGGATTGTTCCTCGGAATTTGCCTTTCTTTTTTTTTGGGGGGGGTGGAGGTGGGGAATTAATTTTATCCAGGAAATAAAGAAAGTGAATGAAAAGGGAAAAATTCATCCTTCCCTGGCCGAAAAGTGTGATTTGGTGCCACTGGTTCCTGAGAGAAGAAACTCCTTGGTTGGATTGTGCTCCCACAGGCCCCAGACTTTGCGGGATTTCTGGACAAACATCCAGTGAAGCTGAAACCCAGAGGGGCAGAAGGGCAGCAGGAATGGCTCTCACTGTCTCCCTGCATCAGCTGGGCAGCGTTTGCCTTCAGAAATCAATATCACACGAAAAATAAACAGAGTGTTAACGAGGACCCGTTGGGAAGCAGGGAGGGCTGTAATTAGTGGCACTTAGCAGCAGCAAGTGAAAAACTGAAAATGGCACTGTCATGTTTCTTTATTCCAGAAAATGATAAATGATGTCTCGTGACCAAGCGTTGCCTTTTTTGTCCCGGCAGAAGTATTGGCGTGGCTCTGCTCCACAACATCTGCACCTTTCTGCATTCTGTGCTGACCGACCTCTGCTCACTGTGGGTGCACTAACCAGGATCTGCAGCTCCCTTCTTGGAGAAGACCCTCACCGGGTGACAAGGGCTGAGGGTGGAGCAGACTGGGCACGGCCCGAAGCTGAAATCCTCACAGACGGTGAGAGCAAAACGGGTTTTTGTTGATGCTGTGTGTTTTTTAATAGAAAAAGCAGCCCGCTGCCCATCTGCCAGCCCAGCAGCCCCATGGCACGTGGTTCCCTGTGGGCTCCAACCCTTTGGGCAGTGCTGCCCTTTTGGCAGTGTTGCCTGCAGTTCTGCTGGGGCTGTAAGATGAGGTGCAGAGCACTCCTAAGTCCTTTTTATTTCCAGCATTTCCCACGTTGGTTCGTTTGCTCATTCCTGAAGAAATGCCACATCCTCCTCTCTCGACTCTTTTCCCCTTTCTACAGCTGTAAGGGCTCTGCCTTGGCTCCCCTCTGCACAGCCTCCCTGTTTGTGGTACCCCGTGTAGCTGTGAGCACTGGGGGCTGCAGGTCTCTGCAGGCACACGTGCAGCTTTCTATTGAAAGACCATCTGGAAGTGTAGGAAATAGGAAGGGAAAGTTAAAAGAAGTATTTGAGGAAGACACCCAGCCAACAACTGAAGAGTGTGCATCATCTGGGCCACGTTCAAGCTGGTAGCAAGAATCTTAGAATCTAGAAAGCTTTTTCTGAAGTTCCTACCCAAATGTTTGGAAGTGTTGTAGAGATGGTTTATCCTGGGTATTTCTTGCTCTGTGTGAACACTCTTGTGTTCATACCCTTCCAGTAACACTAACTAGCTGCCATCAAAATAGGTAGAAACATGAAAAAAAAGAAAAAAACAATGCAGAAATGTCATCTCAGGGAATCTGGAAGGTGAGAATCTATATATCTTTCTCCACGCAAACCCAGATATACATTTAAAATGGTTTATTTAAAAAGGAAGGGTTAAGTACATTATACACGGTTGTGATTACACCAGCAGAACTGAAGCACAGTGGCAATAACACGTTAGAACTGCAGACAGAAATGCAACCTCAAGGGATGTGATATATTAGCCCTTGTGGATTTGTGATCCATACAGAAAGGAAATATAAAAAGAGTTTACTGTTGTTAGTACGGGCACATGAAGCGATTTCTCCTGTTCTGTATGAGAAACCAGGAAGAGAGAGATGATGAGATACCCAAAATTTGTTTCTCAGAAAATGGAATCTGCTCCAATGGCATTTCTGCTGTTGCGGTTTGCTGTAGGCTATTCCCAAAGGACCAGCTGTTGTTAATGATGGGATGATGATACCTGCAGGCTTTACTGAGAAACTGGGGCTGATCTGTGTTAGATGCTGTCCAAGGATGAACAGAGAGATGCGGAGAAACTGAAGGTTTATTTTAAGCTATCATTGAGTGGTTTCAAAGTCCAACAGCAATCCGGTGCATTCTGATGCATCGATCCCGTTCACGCGCAGGGATGCCACAAATCACTCAGTTTTGTTGGAACCAAAGTTTTCTACAGGAAAAGGGATTTATGGAGGATTTTTATTTTTAAATGGAATTGTCAAATGTCACAGCTTGTTTTTTGCTTTGGCTGAACAAGGCAGCACGCTGCAGTCTGACACAGACCATGACTTTTGAGATGTGAAATCACTGCCCCGTCCTTCCCCAGGTTGTGCGTCCCAATCCCCATCACCTCCCAGTGCCTCACATCCCTGTCCCAGCACCATCCCAGGGACACATCCCCACTCTGAGCGGATTTAAGCATGTTTACTCCAAATGAAGATAAAAAGAACAAAACCAAGGCGCAAAACAAACCTCACACCGTCCACTTTCTGTTCAATGGACATGAGTTTAGAACAAACAGCCTATATCTAGCTCCTGGTTTGAAAGGGAATGGTTTTATTCTTAATTACAGTAAACACGGATGGGACTTATTTCTAACTATTAGTTTATTAACACAGTGGGAAACAAATAGTTCTGGGAAATTGCACTTGAAAAATACATTGACTATAATTAGATGTAAATTAATTAGCACTTAGTATGACGCACTAATGAGACAGAAGGTTTTTTTCATTGCAAACTTCTACTTCTATCATAGCTAATCAAAGTATTTTAATATTACGAAGTCTCAAAAAGTAGGAAATAATTTATTGTTTGAAAGCATAGATTCTTGTAAAAAAAACCTTTCATCAAGAACTTTAATAATTTTAGAATTCTTTTACGTTGTCCTAGCCGAAAAGTAGGTAAAAAAGTTTTCTTGTCTGCCTCTGTTTGAATATTTTTAAAAAGCTCGTGTAATACCTTTCTCCGTAGTGTGTTGATACAGAAAGAAGCACGATGTTTCCTACTTCTTTTCCACAGTTCCCATCACTCCGTTCGTATCAGCTCTCAGAGTTCAGAGGTCTGAAAAAGGATCCCAGCAGAGTTTTAACCTGAATGGAAATTCTTAACAAGCGGGGATGAAGGCTCCAGCCCACCTCCGCTGGATGGTTCGCCAAAATGATGCTTTCCATCATCTGCCGCGATGAGGGCGGAACAGAGCAAGACAGCGACTAGGGGAAGACTTGCGCTTAAGATTGAGCATTGTCTCGGTTCTTGCAAGGAGAGAGGGCCAAGCAGGGCTTAGGTGGGAGGGAGAGGTTTGACTTATTGGGTTGTTAAGGCAGCTCCCCCAGGGCTTTGCTGGAGGACTTGGTTCCACTGGCTGAAAGCCTCGCATCCAAACCACCATTGCATTGCGATGCTGCGGCCACCACAGGGTGAGTTAAGACTAAGGAGGTTTTAACAGCTTGGCTGAGATCTCTCTCTGTCAGCTTCCCAAGTCATTTTCTTTCCTTGTCACCACTTCTCTAGTCTTCAGGTAGCAAAGATTTTCAGGGTGAAAAAGACGGATGTGTTCAAAGCAGCCTACAGGAACTGGATGCTCCTCTCTCATTGCAACTAACTCATTCAAGGGGAATCGGGCACCTCATTCTCGTATGGCTTGGCTGAATGATCACTAAAAGAGATGTGAGTACTGTTAAATTAAACTACCTTCGAGTCAGGCCCTTGAGATTTGAGAATCCAAGCCTAAGTGTAAAAACAAAAGCAGAAATTTAAAAGAAAAAAGAATTCGGACTCTTTTAGAAACATATAGAAGCAGAGGGTGCAGACCAGTCTCCCCCTTAGGAGATGCATAGAGTTTCCTGTGGGCTCTCTGCACATAAGTAGAATCATCATTACAAAAGAAATTAAATTAGGCTGAACCATCATTTCCATCTAAAAGCAACTATACCTTGCACCATACGGCACTTATTCATAATAAAAAGAGTTTAATAAATATCTCATAAACGGTGATTGTTTTTGTTCCATTTCAAAAAACACAAAGTTGCCATCCATTCTGTTAACGCTCAGCTCCCATTGCTGCAGGATGTGTTGCTAGTCCAAACGTATCAGCTTCTCATCTTTTGTACACGTGTTGCTCAGATATCTTAGTTTCCAGTAGCGTTAGTGTTGCACTTGTGAAGCAGTAAGGAAATGGGGGCTGTGGTCGCAGGCTCAGCCCTGCTCCTCACCCTGGCTGTACGCAGTCCGCAGGGACCTGCTCCTGGCAGACAGCACTCAGCACCTCGCCGGATCAGGCACTAGGGCTAGTCGGAATGAGAATTCAAGTTTTCTAATTGTTAGGCAAGAAATGATATTTGCAAAGATGCTCAAGTCCCACCTACCTTAATCCCGCCCTTGCTAGGCGCTGGGCGATGCACCCACCCTGTTCTCCCCACCCGCGCTGCCCGGAGGGTTGCCTTCCACCCCCAGGTAGGAGACCCCTCGATGCCCTGTCAGGGAGTCTCTAATGTTCAGCACATGAATGATCTACGGGTTCAGTAGCACAGGTCAGTTTTAGATGGTGTTGTCTTCAAAAATATCTTCTATATATTTCTTTTTTTTTTAATTATTATTTTTTTTTTGGAAGAGGCAAAGCTCACGCTGTGTCAAAGGGGAGCGGATCACTGGAGGACTAGTTCGTATCCTTGGGCTTAGTTGTAAATTATAGTTGCAAGTTTGTAGTAAGGGATCTCGATTTAGAAAACAGTTGTACAACAATTCTGCGACCCTTGAAACACACTGGTGGCAAGTCCTTCGCAGCTTCTCCAAGACTTTGTACACGTTACAAAAGTGCAGGGACATGAACTACCTTCATCTCGTGACACCAAGAACTGAAAGAAACAAACTCCAAATAGCTTTGAAAAAGCTACAAGCGTGTAACATCTTTATGTTGGTCCAGAGGATCCCCACTTGCTGCCTCAATACATGCCACAGTTAAAGAGGTGAGAGGGTATTTTAACATCGCTCCTTCTCTTTCATGACAGGTCTGTTCTGATATTTTTTTTCAAAAACCACAGGGAGGGAAGGAACTTCAGACAGGTGTCGTTCTCCTGTTGACCATGTTGACGTGGAGTCCTTCCTTAAATTCCTTCTGAAGGAAGTTGTGGACCTGCAGAAAACTGGCTTCTTGGTCTGCGTTGTAACTGGCGGCCGTTGTGACCTTCAAGGGCTCTCTGGAAAGAGTGTACATGGAAATCTCGTTCATGGGAATGGTGCTTGCTATCTTCATGCCAACCGGGGAAATGTCTCTAGATGGAGAAGGCTCTGTGGATCGAGAACTGGACCTGGATCTCCGCCTCCTGTACCTGTAGCTTGGCATCCTGGCATAAGGAGAACTGGAAGAAGTCTTAAGGAATTCCCTCTTGGTCTTAAACCTCAGCTCTTTGTTCTTCTCGATATAAATGTTCACAGCCAGAACACCTATGGTTTCGGCCACGATAAAAGACAAGGCTCCAAAATAGAAAGACCAACCGTAGTTGTAATGGTTCTTTTTGTCCTCATCTCGCTTATCGCTTGGGTCACCTGCGTTGCTTGATATGTAGACAATGATCCCTATGATATTACTTAGTCCTAGAGAGAGAAAAACAGAAGTCAGCTGTCATGTGGCTGGGAAATTAAAAAATTCAAGCCGTGTTACCTTCTAGACAAGAATATTTCTAAGACTATGACCAGGAAATTTCATTAGATTACATTTACTCTTTTAACTATCTGAAGATTTCCTTTGCCCTTGAAAACAAAAGGTAGGCCCATGTCATGTTCGCGGTTGCTTGCAAAGATCTTAAAAGATTCAGCAGGATCTGTCCCCATTTCTTCACTGACATGATGGGAAAGAAGTAGCGTATGGGAACTTGCTAATATTGTTAGTAATAAAAATACATTTTGAGCTCAGGGCTATGGCTGTTCACCTTGATCAAGACAAGTTCTCTTCCACCTTGCTGAATTTCCATCTGAATGCAGCATGCTTAATGTGAGCTTCAGGGAAGGCTATTAACAATGTGGATGACTCTCTTGGACATTTCTAATTTGGAAAGCACACTCACCTAGCATAGGTGGAGTTTTTCTGTTCTCATATAAGAGAAGGAAAGAAGGGCCAGGATCTAAGAGATGCCCGATTCATGCTTCTATTCAGGCATCTTATGTGTAGTACATTTTAAGTAGAGCAAAAACTGCATGCTACAAGCCTTAGCTTCCTGCAATTTCTTTTTCAAGAAAAATGAAGGTTTCTCAAGAATTTGCATTTTGAAGAGCTTCAAAAACAATTTTTTTTTCTGAAGAAATTTGCCCAGTATGAATTTGGTCATGTCCTCAACCCAGGAAAGGGATAGAGGGAGTGATGTGTCACCCAGTTACTCCATGGGAAAATCAGTCTTTGCACCCAGCCAGAAGGCTCGACCTCACTTGTTTTCCTTGTGCTTGCCTTCATCGGCAGTGAGCAACAAAAACAGGATTTCCTAATTTGGATATGAGCAGCTCAGCAGCATAAAGCTGCAGGAGCATGTGATGCCCACCTGCAATGAAAATGGCTTGAAAGAACTGGGACTTTGGGGAAGAAATTCAGGAAATTGAAGAAGAGCTGTGGATGTGATGCAGTGTCATTCTCTTGCTGGGCTGGGAATCACCCCGTTGTATTTTTGGCCAGTCCAGGCCATGCTGGTGGCTTCCCCACCAGATGAAGCTGCACTTATGCATATTTCAACCCAAAAAGGTGGCGCTTCTTAAGGACTCAATTTAAGGAGAGCATACCTGCTGCGACAAAGAGAATTCCAGCGCTGAGAATAATGTTGTTTTTGCTGTTGTAAATCCTTCCTGCTCCAACACAGAGCCCTCCCAGCAGCAGCAATATTGTGCTTAGAATGGGGAACACACTGGAGGCACGGACAATGCCTGCAGGGGAGATAGGAAGCAAACACAACAGTCAGTAGTCATTTCAGATGCCTCCTCAGGTGCTCCTATGGAGAATGCAAAGTCTCCAAACCCCAAATTTTGCTGCAGTTACCAATGATTCTGCATTTGTGGGCAGGTGTGGGGGAGCCGAGGTGGGTGGCCGATGTAGAAGGGCTACCCTCATTTGAGCAACTTCAATCTCTTGAGTTTCCTCCTGGGAAATCCGATGTTTTTGCCTTAATGTGATGCCACCAGAACGTTTCTGATGAAGCACGAGGCAAATGACAGCCAGCATCACACAGCGGGCAGCACTGAAATATTCATGAGCTGGCGATGAACTCTGCACCATTTGGGGACAGCCTCAGCAGAGGGTCTGTTGCACGTGTGTAAGGTGAGCAAAGCACGACTCTTGGAGTTTGCAGCATTTGTATTAGCAGTGGGCTAATTACTCTTTTTTTTTTTTTTTTTCTTCCCTGTTGAGTATTTAAGACTTTGAAACCGTTCAGGTTTCTAAGGAGGAAATTTTAACAAGTATATCTCAGGCGTTTGTGTTTCGTTTCCTGACAGCTAAATGGAGTCACTTAAAATTTTGTCTGCTTCAGCCCGTTCATCAGTATGGGCTGTAAAATCCCCGCACAAGGATCTAAGCCACTGCATCTAGCCAGCCTTCAGACCCTATGGGACATTATGGGGCACTATGGGGCAAGGCAGCAGCTGAAAGTGGGGCGGACAGCACTGGTGTCAGGACATGCACAGGGAGGATGGGGGACCCCCCGGGCTGGGGGCATGAGGAGGGAAAAGCTGCCAGCAAACAGCATCTGGGGCCATGGGCTGCTGCAGTCCCCCTCGGGTGCCATCTTCCTGGGGACACACATGGTGCTGCTTCCCGAGGAGGAATGGCCAGATGCTGCTGCTGCTGATTTCTCATTTGACTTCTGATGGCGGTGGCGTTGCCAGTTTAGTGAATTGCTTTCTAACGATTCCCCTGATGACCGGTGGCAAAACTCCCACAGATTGCAAGAGGGACAGGGCTGGGCATTTAATAACAGCAGCGCTTTTGTGTGTGCTGCAAAGCCCCCGGGAGCCCCAGCGCCAGGCCCAGGGCTCATTAGGATGGTGCAAATATAAAGCAAAGAGACAGTCCCTGCCTGGGAAGCTTGTGCCCGTATTGATCTGCCACTGTGTGAAAAGGACATCTCCTACCAAACCTGGCAACGCTGCTGCACGTGTCTTTTGCTGAGAGGGAATGTTCTGGCCGGATTTAACCCAGCTCAGTTGGGTGCTTTCCTGTTTAGAATGAGCCTTGCAGTAATTGGCAAACCCAAGGAGTGAGGGTGTCAGGTCACTGATGGATGCATGCTGAGTGCTGAGAGTGCATTCTCTTGTGCTGGGTGTGCATCCCTGTGTGAGGTCAGAGGTAGAGGTGCTCTGACTTTTGGGTCAATTTTTGGGGTTGGTTATCAGAAAAAGTCTCTGTGCTCATGGACACAGAAGCACCCCTAATCACTGTCTATTCGTACCCCAACAAAAGGCAGCATAGGATTGAAATTTGCTATGACCACACTATCTGCTTATTTTTTCCTATACTTCAAGCTGTTTATAATGATTTGGTAATGACTGTAGCCTTCTCCAGGGAAGCTTTGGAGGTTGGGAGTTGGACTGGGGGGTCTCCACAGGTCCCTCCAACCCCTACAGTTCTGTTATTTCAAAGGACTTCTCTAAACTGCTTCGGTGACAGTATGAGAAGAGACTTGACAGACGTGCCGTGTACATGGGGTGGGTTGTATCACATCTAGTAAAAAGCCCCAGAGGTGATTTTTCTCTATTAGTTAATTAATGTGAAGAGAAACAAAACATACCGTGTTCTCTTGGGGACGATGGCTACTTTCAGCTCTGGAATTTAAAAGGAGTACTCATAGGTACCATGCAGAATTTACATATGTCTCCCAATACTGGTAATAAAATGACAGCAGGTCAAAAAACATTAAGGGAATCTGGGCTTTGCTCTCTCCCCTGCTTTCTCCTTGTTTACCATCCTGTCCGTTCGCATCGGCCGCGCTCTGTGCGCTGACACCTCAGGGAAGCACTGCATGGGCTGTGCCGTCAGCCACGAGGCTGTGCTTGGCCCCATGCTGCCTTCTTGTTGCAAGCAGCCACAGGAGCTAAGCAGGAAGGCTTACAGCTTCCTTGCACGTGTTTGCAGTCACTGCAGCCACTGCTCCTTTGGTTTTGCAGGGAGCAGACTGAGTGCAGAAAGGGTGAAATCCAGATTGCTGCTCCTACTCATGCCCTGGACTGAAGTTCTCTAAGATAAGGCATTTTTTTTCACTGATTTCAATAGGATTTCAAACTGGGGTGCTCTGCTGATGCTATTCTGTTCACATTTATCTGAAGTCTAGGCCAGGTTGGTATCTGCAGGACAGGCTGAGAGCCCATGTGCTGCCCTCCCAGAAGCACAAGGTGCACATAGGGTTGGTTCAGTGCCTTCATCTGAGCACAACGTGGATGGGAACTGTGCTTTTCCCTTTGCCTCCCTGAGACAAAAATTAGGGCTGTCCCCAGCCAAGGTCTTGTGCCGAGGAACGGCTGCAGGTCCTGATGGCTGATGTGGGGACAGGAGCTTGCAAAGGTGTTGCAGAGAGGGCAGAAGTGGGAAGGAGGGTCTCACGTCTCTTGTGAGCAGGATGCAAACACCCTTGTTTCTGTGCCTAGTTAGACGAGATCTGTCTCTCATTAGGTGATATGTACATTTACATATAAGCTCATTTATTCTTGATTTAGGTATATAACCTTCCAGTAATTTCTAAATCATCTGCATACACTTCATTTGAAGTGGCAGTTTTCCCTCCTGCAGTCAAAGCAGAGGTTCCTGCTATCCATGCAAAGCTCTAGGGGTGAGCTCAGACCCCAGGGAGCAGCGGCTGCATCCCAGTGTTGCAGGAGACACCCAGGGTTGGGCCAACTTGCTTTTAAGATCTGTACTTAGTGACTCCTGAAAGCAGCTTCCAGGATCATCAGTCGCAGCACTCTTACAAACAATTTACCCATCTCCTGTCTTACAGAGCGGCTGTAACTGTTTTTCCCTTCCCTTCCTCCAAACAAAAATGACATAATGCACTTTTACCGAGGTGCTGCTTAATTCATCTTTCCTTTAAAGTCCTTTTACTAATGATGTTTCTTTCCTAAAGCTGACTTGGCATCAATTTAACATTAGTTCCAAGGCTTTGTATGAAAGATAAATGCAGCCGTGCTCACACTCTGCAAGCCTGCCTTTGCCCGAGCGCTGCAATCATGTCACCCCAGCATCATGACTGATGTAAATTGACAAGAGGAAAGATGAAAAAAGATCTGGGTTTTCTGGTAAGCACACTTTTCAGAAAGCCCCATTTTTCCTCCTCCTTGTCTTAGTAAACAGAAGTTGTTTCCCAGAAGTGAGCAGAAGGACAGAGTGGTTCTCTAAGCGGTGTTTCAGGTAATTAATAGTGGTGTAATTGAGGAGCATTTTGCCTCTCTGGATGGCTCAGCCAGCAGCCACGCTCATTGCTCCCTGAAGCTTTCCCAACACCTTGTGTACTGCAGTTTCTTTCTCTTGCAAAAGGCATTGCTTTCAGCTTCGCTGGGCAGCTCTTTTGCACAAGAGAAACAACAAGGTAAGACAGCCAAGGGAAGGGGAAATCTAACTCAGATTTTGCAGGATTCGTGAAGTTTCACACTCAGGTTTCAAGATGTTGTATCAACTGAGCGAGCCATGGTCAGGAAGAAGGCAGAACGAGTGCCATTACTTCAAGCACCGTGTCAATGGATGGAAATACTTCTGTGCACGCTTTCACACCAGCACAGAGCATCAGCGGCCAGCTGCCGTGCAGGGAAATTGCAGCCCACATTCCTGCTGAGATTTTGCTGTTATCTGCAGGAATTTCAGCTTCCTTCCTAAGCTGCAGCAATTTCACTGCATGGGAGGTGGTTTGGAGCAGCTGCAAAGGATGAGGCTTGCATAAGGGCTGTATTTGAGCGACAGGAAAAGCTTCCTCATGGGCAGAAACTCACTCCTCAGATTGCTTTTGGTACAGGAACCAACTAAATGCTCCCTCTGTAAAACATCCTCTCCAATCTGGAAATGCTGTTGTTTCCATTTAGAATATTTCCATGTAATTTTAAGAGAATGGGCACCAAAACGATGCGAGTTCTCATGGATGAAGGAAATCCTTAAAATAGTGATCCCTGAAGGCTGGGCTCTTGCAATGAATAATCCCTCTTTTGGGCTGTTAGTTCTGTGCACCTGGTGCTGCTTTCCAACTTACGGAGAAGGTATTCTGAGCTGTCATGGTCGTAGTCATTGTCTTCAGGGAAGTGGTTGATTCGGAAGCAGTGTCCTTTGTAGATTCCTAAGTGAAAACAAAGCAAACAACACATATTCAAGAGAAGCAGGTAAAAGTGCCTCTGCCAGCCCTGCTTTATTCCCCTTCCCTCTTTCTATAGAGTACTCTACTTGTGCAACTAATTTGCCACTGATGTTTCATGCCATCAAGAAACCATCTCTTAGGTTATGAATTTGGAGCAGGTTGACCAGAAACTCAGCAGCAGGAAAGGACTGCCAGGATTCCTCTGTTATTCTCTTAACTCTGCCACTAATATCCTTCTCTTGAGTTTTTTAATCTCTCTGTGCTTTACTTTCTCAGTGCTGTTCTTATCTTTGTAGGATACCAAGTCTGCAAAGCTGCTTTTTGTTCCTAGCATGGCTGTCCCTGCAGGTCCCTGCCCCACAGCATGGGCTGCACAGCAAGGCTGGGCACCAGAGCCATGCTCATCCCCGTGAGCTGCTGCTTTCCTTATCAGAGCTGCTGGATGTTGAACTATCTGATGCCTCTTCAATTGGAAAACAAGTCCATAAATCTCTTCCTGCTGCAACTTCAACCTGCACGTCCCCCTCAAGGTTGGTTCAGGTTTTAATGGCACATTTGCTCAGCTAACTGGTAGCCCGTGCAGGAAGCCATGCTGTGAGCACACACTCCTGAGACCCACAGGAACAACGCCAGCTTGGATGGGTGAACAAGGCAGAGCGTTCAGCACTTTGTCCACCTGCATAAAGGTTTGCATCAGTGTTTTATATCACTTTCTATGATTACGCAGAGCTGCAGCTGGTCTCAGCCTGGGTGCTGTGCCTGCTGCTGCAGGAGCTGCATGGGGAGGTCTATCTGAGAGCTTCCTGCAGCAGCGTGGCCCTGAGGTGTGATCCTGCCTTGCTGCTTTCATTATTCATTAACCAGCGCTTTGGTGCTCAGGAGCATCCATCACCCCGGGTGAGTTATCTTCTGCACTGGAGTTTTGGTACTTACAGCTCTAGCTGGCAGAAGGATTTAAAAACCATCACTTAATACGACTTTAACAGAAGCACAGCTGCAGTCTGTAGGATATAACCGTGGATTTATTTCGCTACCTATTACCAATGATTACAAAGATCTCAAAGGAATTACTAATCCGCGGGATTTCAATTGCACCCTGTGAGTGTCAACTGCAGGTTTGCTACTACAGTGCATTTAATTCTTCCAGCAAATGATAGATCTGCTCTAATTGTGGGAACGGCTCTGGCTTTCCCTGTACAGCATTTCAGGGGCTGTGAAGAATCCATCAGGGCTTCTGGTGCAGAAGGCAGTGCCATGCTGACCCACTGAGCACATTCCCCTCACGTCCCTCTGCCCCAAACTTGGGGCTGCATGCACCCCAGCAAGCCCAGATTTTAAAGATCCTGCTGTTTATTTTTATGGCAGCTCTCACAAGGGAACTAAACCTTTCCCAGCATCACAGAGCCTCTGAGATGGGATGGGCATTTCTACGAGCCTTTTGGTTATGATAGGCCAAATTACAGGAAATACATTCAGGGTATGATTTATTTTCCTTCCTGTGCAAGAAGAATAAGTAGAAAATAGTCCTCTCATGCTAATATCCTGTGGAAATAGGCCTTTCAATGACACTGCTTCTGTGCAAATAGGTTGGGCTCCTGGGCAGGCTGTAGGTATTTCTTCAATGATTTGTAATTCAGTTGGTCGAATTGATCTGGAGTTGGTAGAAAAGGAGAAGTTTCACAGGGAAAGAACTCTCACAGTTGCTCCTTATGAAGCTCCATTGCCTGGGCATGGGCAGCAGCCCAAACAAATGTCCTGCTTCCAGAAATTCAATTAAGAGACACAAAGTCTGCAAAACCAAATTCCCCAAGCCTCTGGTGTCTGCAGCGCTGATGGATTGTGGGAGGGTTTCAGCCTCTGTAAAATGGCTGTATGTTATTAAAGTTTGGAATGAAATGGGCCCCTTAGCAGAACTTCCTCCTGCAATGAGGCCATGGAGCCATCCCTTCCACTGCAGGGCTGAAATGTGCCAGCAGGACAGGAGGGGTTGGGATTAGCAGTGTTTGGCTTTCTCCTGGGTTGTGGCTGGAGAGCTTTGACCCTCTGTCCTTTATACCCTGAGCCTCTACCACCAGGGCTGGTAGAGGTAGAAAAAGATAATCCATCCTAAGCAGAAAATTCTAGAAGAGCTTGAGAATTCCTTCTCATTTGCAGCTTTTAGGGATATGGAGGCTGATCATTCTGACCAGCCTCAGCACATGGCTGTGAAATTTGGATCTATATCAATGCCTGGGAGTATAAAACATTCCTCCCAATACTTTTGCTATAGTTGAGATCATGGATATTGGTTCAGGGTTCTCTCTAGTGTCTGTAAAACTTGATAGCTAATGACAGCAACAAACTGGATGATTTTTTTCCATAATCCTAATAGGTGTCATGTAACTCAGTGACAGCTCATTGAATCCTCAGTGAGGCTTGAAGTTGCTATCGAGAGCTCTGATGATCTACAGGGTGTGGAAGACTCTTTACATCCCTGAAGTATCAAAAACATAGTTTTGCCTGAATATGTAAGAATACCTTTTTTTCATAATGATGGGCTTTGAAACTCAGATTTGGAACAAACTCAAAGTAGCCAGGCTGGAAGCTGATGAAGCAGTGGTTGGTATTTAAAGCACAACATCAGTCATACCTGTACTTAAACACAACAATACAAACACCCTCCTTCCCTCGAGATCCGGTAGCATACTCAGTTCCTTGTCCGAACAGGTAAAGCAATGCAAAAGAACAACAGCCGTGAAACAGAAGAAGCAGAAAAAGGAAACGGCTCAATTAAATTCAGCAACAACCATTCTTCAGTGTCTACCCAAGGTGGGAACTCCTGGAAGCTCTTTTCAAGGACTTCATAGGGTACGTCTCAAAGAAATGCATAGAATCACAGAATTATTAAGGTTGCTAAAGACCCTGTGACATCCCTAAGCCCAACCCCATCCCACCCCCATCCCCACTGCCCACATCTCTGTGGTTCTGCAACACCTCCAGGGATGGGAACTTCCCCACCTCCTGGGCAGCTGTGCCAGTGCCATTTTCCACTCCAAGATGTGATGTGGAAGGGAGAATTTTTGTTTGCATGAGCACAGGAATACAGTCTCTTATATCCTTTGGAGGGGAAGATGGAATATTTAACTCATAACTCTGTATCCACTAGAGAGAGATAAATAAACTGCAACCACTGCCTAACAGATATTAAAATATTGAGAAGCACTTCTGTATACCTCTTGAGAGTAAGATAAAACATCCCACCGAGACGTTGTAAGTATTACGCCTTTCTGTGAATGATTACTGATATGTTTAAATGATGCTTTTATAAATACAAACATTATAATGCATTTTTTTTTCTCCTCATAATAATAACTTCACTCTGAATGTAGAGCCAAGACTCAGGATCTGGGATAATGATGAGGAAGAGACAAATTTTCTGAAGTGCTGCTGATGTAAGAATGTTTTTTTCCCTTGGTTGCTGCATACTTAGTTGGCATTTAAAAACTAAGAGTTGTTTCTGACTCGGCTTCACTCTGTGTTCAAGGGCTTCTTCCATAGGATTAGCACCTCCCAACCCCATTAAGTGTTCAGATACCTATAATTAGAGTGTGATGTACTCAGATAATATGATAAGGGGGTAAGTGTAGAACCTAATCAAGATTAAGCTTTGTTTTGGGCTTTGGGATCTCAAGTTCATCAGTTTTCAGCAGTAAATCAAAGTAGTGATCTTAACTTATGATGGCATGCTGCTTTCTCCTTGCTCTTCCTCACATACTCCTTCAATAACACAGCCTGTGCTGTTGCAGAAGTATTCAGTGGGGCTGTATTTTTGGATCACTGAGAGCAATAATGCTGTAGGAGGCAAGCTCTGACCAACCTTGTTTTTTTTTTAACATTGGATGCATTCTGTGATCACATCACTGCTGGTCGTACCATCAGCCTTTGCTTTCAGACTACCATTTCCCATGGTTTGTGTTTGTCAGTGACAACATTCCCTGGTGCCCTGGAAGTGTTTGCACAGATGAGCTCTGGAAGACAGCGCTTCACATCTGACAGCATTTGCCCAAGCTGTACTTCTGTTCCCCACCCCTCCCCTGTAATTTAGAGAACCACACAGCAATGTCTTTCCAAAACACACTGCTCTGTTGTCATTTAAAATAGGTTTCCACCATGCAAGATGCTAGCAGCTTTGCAGCAGAGGACCTTGTCTGCAGGGTACTTCTGTCAATAGCAATTTCCGTCTCCCTGCTCTGAGCACGAGCTTTCGGGAGGCAATATCTGATAGCAGTGGGAGACACATGAGGATAAATGGGGCTAGCTGCTGCCTCCTTCTCCATCAGCAGCTTCTGCAGGGCTGGTGCTCGGTTAACTATTTCATCTACCAGCCGTCTCACCCACCCTGTTGGTAAGACTGCAGTAAAACAGCACTTTGGGGACTTATTTGTGCTAGCTTCCTTGTGAGACACCAGGCATTTGCTGCCTCCTTGGGTCAAACTCTCTCCTGCCAACACGCCACATTCCTGTAGGTCTTGAGCAGCTACAGATACCCAGAGCACACCCACGCACACTATTAATAGAGTAAAGCAGAGTTTTCTCCTTAGGGAGGGTCTGCTGATGGAATGAGCGCTATGAATGTCAGCTGCAGAAGTGGTCGCATGGCTGCACCAATTACCTGCAGGCAGGTAGGGACAGCGAGCAGCTGCCCAGCATCACACGGAGCAGCTGACTTCTTTCTGGCAAAAGGGGGTCTTCAGGGATGGTTTGAAGACGTGTAAGGAAATGGCTTACAAGATCTTTTGACAGCACGTGTTTCCAGAAACAGGGGATATAAGTTGCAAGGAGCTGACTGCGCATTAAAGGGAGGGCAGTTGGCAGAGAACCACTTCAGTTCTGGAGCAAATCATTAGCCTGATTTACTGCAACGCTGGGATATTGGAATGTTTAGCTGACAAGCATTCTGAGCGTATCAGCACAGAGCAGGCTGATTGAGACCATCCCAGCCC